CTCTTAAAACTGTAATACGGTCTCCCCATTAACGGATGGAGTGCCAATGCTAACATAAAACAAATTCAAGGTCCATATCAGGCTGCTAGCCGCCGTAGCTTAAACGCTTTCCTCTCTTCACTGACAAAATGTATTCTCGCAGAAGCGAGATTACCATCAATAGAGGATAGATTGTTTGAAACAGCTGCAAAATTAATTCAAAAACTCAACACCACTTCGAACTTACAATTAAATAAATGTTACGCAAATGCAGTCAATCGAAGCGCACTTATAAAGTGTTATCCACCATCGCTGGGCATCATAAACAACTTCACTTACAGCTACTTACATTAACAAGAAGAATCCCTGGATTTTCGCCATGGCTACTGCAAGAGACGTCGATAAACTTGAATCTTCATTTATCTAAGAAAAACCACACTCAAAATAATGTATTCCGCAAACTATTTTTGAAAGAAAGTTATAAACTAAACTCAAACAACTGGTTATTTACCGATGCAACAAAATCGAATATCCAACTCTATATATCCGAATACAAGTATATAAATTAGTAAAAATGCCTTTTTTTACTTTTACAACAATGTTACTCGCTTTATTATTTATTGCTTAATGAATTCTAGCATTCCACTTCAACCTGACCTGACTTGCTTGTTTTGCTCCACAGAGAAACGGTTCTTTTTTGTTCTTTCGAGCTGTAGATTTTGGCGGGAAAACAGAGTTATGCGGGAGTTGTTGTTTATTGGTATGCTAGCCAGTCAGCGAAACATACCGCACATATTGAGAATTGAGTGCAAGAATAGTTTTAGCTCAGATTATAGCATTAACCTTTGTGTTAGATCTTATTAACTTGTTTGACAACAAATACACCTAAACTACTCCCTTGTTAAGCTCGAAGCGTCCGCGTTCCGACAGTCATTTTGAATCTCAACAATCGATGTGATAGTGGGAGCAGATCGAAAAAAATATTTATTTACAATTGTAGTAGCTTATAACTAGGTTTACAAAGTTGTTTTAATGAAATGGTGATAATGAAAAAAGATATAAATTTTTTTGGCGTTTCTTGTTACAGTTGTAGTTGCTTAGAACTAGACTTACAAAGTAATTTTAAAGAAATGCTAATAATTCAAAATCAATAAAAGTATTTTCTTTTATATCTATTATGTGGCTTAAAAAATAATATTTTCAATTTTATTGTTTAAATTAATTTGATTTGTTTTTTTTTTGCGAAATATGGATTCTTTTCCCTTCGATCATAACTGCACTACCGAAATTTCTTTTTCTATAAAAGTTTTATCAAATTTACTAGCCAATCGTTAGTTTCTTTTCAAAAAAACCTTTTCTCCAACTTCATATGTTGTAAGAGTTTTACTTGCGTTAAATCTTTTAAGAGTTTTTTCTTGAGCTTCTACTAACCTTCTAACAGCATTTAATTTTTTATTTATTTGTGGGTTGCTAATAAAATTAGGTCAGTAGTTTCATATATTTGCTGCTGTTCTTTAATACAACGCGCTATTTCAAGCAAGGTAAAGTGAAACCTTTCCACTTGCCCGTCACTTTCGCTGTGAGGTGTGGGGATGAAGAATTGATCGTTAGAATACTGATCTCTTAGTAATGTTTTTATTAAATTGGAAGTGAAAGCCTTTTCGTTGTCGGATACAACGGTTTTTGTATTGTTGAAAATTAATAAAATTTGTAGAAAAGCATCTTTGACATCAAAGGTAGATCTTAATGCGATTGGCTTCACCATGGCAAATTTTGAAAATTTTAGTACTCTATTTGGGTCAGCAAGTGCAACACGCACAAAGTTAATCACATATCGAAATTGAGTTTTTATGCGAAATGGAACAGAGTCTTCTTCTATTGTAATCAAATTGCTTTGATTGCATGAGAGGTGCTGTAGTTTCTCTTTACCGTTATGGTTAAAATAAGTATCCATTTTCAGTATTACCATTTGCACCAATTTCTCTAAGAAAATCGTATTCAATGATACCATCAAATGTACTTAAGTTGAGAAGTAAGTAAAATGTTGAAAAAAATTTTAACATAGTTCTTAGAAGTTCCGGTGTCGATTAAAAGGCGTAGCTCCTGACAGCTTTTGGAAGATTTACTTACAAACGGCAGGAGCGACTTTAATTTAAATAATTAATTTCTTCAACTTGTTTCGTATCGCTATCAACTTGATTATAGTTAGTAGTATCATCATCAAGGTAACAACTTTCAGCATAATTTCTGAAATTATCGTCTTCAGAATACTCTTCATTACATCTTCATGGATAATATGATACGAGACTTTACCATTGGCTCTTTTTTTCTCTCAAACGCGTTCCCTGATTTTTTGACAGCGATGGAGATCAGGGAATTTCTGACAGTTGATTTCAGAAAAGGCGGGATGCCAGAAGTAAACCGCTATAATTACCTGACGAAATTAGTGTGAAATGAAATTTCATTGAACTGTGCGAATTTTGGCAAAATAAATGTTTATGTATGCATTTCCAAAGTATGCATTTTCAAAGTGTTTAATTTAGTGTTTTGTATAATTTATTAAATACCCAGTCTAATATTTTTCAACAGCGGCATCATTGATAAATGTTATACAAAATCCGAGTTTTGACAGCTCTCTCGAATCAAAGAGTCTCGTATCATATTATCCATGACATCTTTCACAATCTACTTGATCAAAGATTTCTTTTTCAGGTTGTTGCGCTGTCACCTTTGGGCTGGACGCCGTGGGTGACGAAATGTGAGACATACACGCCGCCTGCGTTATCGGCAGCTGTGCTTCACGCTGCGTTCACTGGTTTTGTTGTTGTTGCTCCTGTTGTAGTAATGGCTGTTCCTGCGGCTGTATCTGCGACAGAGGTTGCGACTGTGACTGAATCACTGTCTGCGTCTGTGTTAGGGTCTGGAAAGGCGTTGACGTTGGCGGTGGCTGTGACTCCAATTGTGAAATATGTTGTTGTTGCAGGCTTGACTGGAGACTACCTGGTACATCTTGTGTCGCCGTTAACATTGCAGCTAACGGATCGCCTAGCAACTGGTGGTTGTGCTGCTGTTGATATGGTTGATGCATTTGTTGTTGGGACGGGGTTGGATGATGTAGTGATAATTGTGGGTAATGTCTTGGGGACTGCTGTTGCAGCATAGTCTGTTGATAGGGCGATCGTTGCTGCAGTTGTATAAATATAAAATGAGTATTATTTTTACTACAAAAGCGGTTTTGTGTTGTTTAATTATTGATGAATTTTGTCCGTCGTATTTGCCATTTATTTTCGTTTCTTCGGAGGGAACGGAACCAGTTAAAATCCAACCGAACACTGTAAGTTGTGCAACGAGGGATTCGAATATTTCGATTTTACCCCATTTAGTGTGATTTTTGGGTAAAGATCCGCTCCGATCAAGAAGTCAACCTTTTGACTCGTAAAGAATGTATTATACGCTAAGGGGATATTGGGTAACCTTTTTACCATTGAAGAGTTAATTGAACTGGATGGAAGCAGTCAATTGTGATCGAGCATACCGATTGAACTCGTCCTGACACGGTATTATTCTAGCGCTGACCTTTTTGTTTGACAGATTAAAGCGTTTTTGCAGACTTTTGCTTACGAATGTTCCTTCGGATCCCGAATCGATCAGGGCTCTGACAGTCAAGCCGCTCTCGTTGTGTTATATGGTCATCATGGCTGTACCTAAGAATATGCTTCGACTGTTAGGCAATTTTGATACATTGACCTTAATAGAAGCCATATGAGATTCAGTAGAAATCTCAGTACCGTCTGTGCTGTCGGACATCTAAGCTATTTGCTCACTCTGATCCCGGTGAATCATACAGTGATATCTCTGTTTACATTTGGAACAATTGAACATACTTTTGCAATTTTTGACTTCATGTGTATTGTCCGGCAGTCCGATAGAACACAACTACGTAAATATGGCATCCCAGCTATCTATCGTTCACTATCGGTCGTCACTGTAAACAGACGTGTTTTTTCTCTGCTCCGTGATTATTGTTATTTATTTTAAATTAATGCCGTGTGTATGCGGACATAGAGTTGATGCTCAGCCCAAGACCAGCTGCCATAAATGCAACCAATTCTTCCACTTGTCGTGTGTGAATTTTTCACAGGCTGATGTGGATTTTTTGTTAAAATCGAAAAACTCTTTTTATTGTAAATCATGCGCGGTAGTTCGAAGAAATTCCATTCGTACGCCGCCGGCCTCGCCATCTGTGCGCATTGCTCAATGCTCTGGCAATGTAAACTCGCAACAACTAAATGCGGATCACTCAATCAAGGTAGTAACTGAACCTTTGGAGCCTATTAATCCTAACAAGGTAAATGCATTGCTTAACTCTCTGCTTGTGGAAGTTCACTGGAGTTCACTGAGAGCTAAACAAACGAAGGCGCTCACTTTAATACAACAATTATGTGATGACCGAAATTTGTTGATCGTTAAGCTTAACGAACTCAAATCAGAGATCTGCATTGTGAAAAATAAATTGTCCGATAACGGCAAGTTCTCTGCACCAGCCTCGAATGCTCTCTCTGCTGCGTACCCCATTCTCACAGCTGCGACTTCTTTGGGTACAAATGCTTCTAAAATCGCTTCTCCGTCTAATGCTGCTGCTTCTGCTGATAATGTCAGTGTGAATTATGTCGCTCCCGCTATTCCGAAAGCATTCTCTGCAGCTTCAGCTATTGATTATTCCATTCTCACTTCTACGACTATTGTGGGTACAAATGCTCAGCCATCTAACGTTGCTGTTTCTGCTTCAACGGATAACTTGAGTATGGATTATCTCTCTCCCGCTTCACCGAAAGCAATCCCTGCCGCTCCGTCTGCTGTTTGCTCTACTCTCTCTATTTCTACTGATAATGTTACAAATACAGCCCCTTCTAACGCTGCCGCTGCTCCCAATGCTGCTAATGATGCCAATACATATGCTGGTGCTGTTGCTAGGAATATCAACACTCAATCGGAAGCCATAACCAATACATCAGCTGCTGCTAAAGCAGTTCGCCCTTCTGCCGCTGTCAATGCTGCTCAATCAGTCGCCGTTGTTGACTCTGTTAATCTGAGTTCTTCGACTACAATTACTGCTAATGGAAATTCGAAGTTAAAAGTGAGCACTAGGAACGAAAAATCCCCAGCTGCTTCAACTGTTGTTGGTTTTAATGCCAATAGTGATCTCGATGTCGTCATACCCAAGAAATGGATTCACCTGTCTGCTTTTAAGAACTCGGTCACTGAGGAAGATATTATATCTTTTGTTGTTAAACATGCTAATGTTAATAGTGAGCATCTCTTATGTTATAAATTAGTTAAGAAAGATACGAATATTAATAATCTTAAGAGGATAAACTTTAAGTTAGGTGTGTCCCCATCTTTTTTTAATGCCGTTTTCTCCTCTTCAGTGTGGCCTTCTGGCATCAAGTTCCTTTAAGTTTCTTCCATAGGGAGAGGAAAACAGTGTTTGCGGATTAGTTGATGCGCCTGTTAATCACGATTTTATTCATGCGCCACCTTCCTCAACTGACTAATGTCTTAAAGTTTATTACCAAAATTTATCGGGTTCTAGGTGTAAATCAAATATTATTCGCAACTTTGCTTCACATTTGGATTACGATATTATCGTGATTGTTGAGACTTGGTTGAATTCCAGCTACTTTGATAGTGAATATTTTGATTCAAATCTCTGTTATGTTTTCCGTAAGGACAGAGATCATGAAAAAACTGGCTGTTTAAGAGGGGGTGGGGTACTCCTAGCAGTTCATCGCAAATTTCGACCTCGTTTAATTATGCTTGATAATGATGATTCTATTCTGGACCAACAATGCATTTGTATCAATGACGCTCTGTTCATTGTAGTCTCTTACATCCCTCCTAATAGTCCCCTAGAGTTGTATAAGTCGCACGCTAATAACATTTCCTCGCTGGTATTAAATATGGTGAAAGAGAATAATATTTGTGTTTTGGGTGACTTTAATTTAAGCCAAATCCTCCGGTCTAGTTTTGCTATAGTCCTGCTCTTATTCCCTACAATCTTTCATCTTCTCAGGAGTTATTTTTCATTGATAGCCTGCTTAGTCTCAATCTGATTCAAATTAACTCATATTCAAATAGTCTCGATCGTTTTCTTGACTTCGTCTTTCTCAGTAATAATTTAAAATTTAGGTTTCTTGAGGGATTCTCTTCAATTACTCCGGCCATCATTCATCATTCTCCACCAGCGTATTGAGGTGGGTACTTATCTTTTTGCTCATGTTAAACCTACCGACCGGCTTGGGTTTAATTTTGCATTTTGTGATTTTGAACGACTGAATAATCTGCTTTGTGAGATTAAATGGGATGATTTACTGTCGGGACTGGATACAGCTAATAGTTTCTCGATTTTCAAGAAATCAATTAAGGAATTTTGTCATTATAATATCCCGCTCAAACATGCACAGCCATATAAATTGCCTTGGTACAATAAGGCGCTCAAACGTTTAAAAATCAACTAAATTTATTAACGTCTTCTCCCAAATTGGATTTGGATAGGCTTCCACCTGTACTTATAAAAATTGTACCGCCTTGGTATATCCCCTCATTCTTATCTTCAATAAGTCTCTCTCCTCTGGGAACTTTATTTCTGACTGGAAATTGACATGCATTACCCCTATTCTTAAAGGTGGTAGAAAGGATCTAGTCTCCAATTACAGGCCTATCTCTAAACTTTCTACTATCTCGAAACTTTTTGACTGTTCTGTTCAAAATAAATAATTTCTTGCAGTAAAATCAATAATTGATGTCAATCAGCATGACAAACCCATGCTCCGGGCGCTCCACTGTATTAAACTTAGCGGTTTTTGGCGATTATTGTATGTCTGCATTCTCCACTGGGTGTCAGGTAGATTGTGTCTACACAAGCCTTGATAAAGTTTCACACAATATTCTAATAAAAAAATTATCATTTTTAGGGTTTCACTCTGTTTTCTTACAGTAGATTAAATCATATCTGCACAATAGACGATGTGTTGCCAGTGTCGATGGAGTGTCATCTGATACATTCATTGCGTCTTCAGGAGTATCACAAGGAAGCGTCTTGGGTCCAATTCTCTTTGTGCTGTTTATCAATGACATTTCCTGTTGCTTCTCTTTCGCTAACTTTCTGTTATATGCAGATGACTTAAAAATTTTTGCAACAATCAAAAATCCACAAGATGTATCCAAACTCCAACGTGATATTGATACTTTTTATGATTGGTGCCTAAAATCGAAGCTTTTTCTGAATCCAGATAAATGCTCTCAGATCTTTTATGGTAGGAGACGCAACATCTTATCCTCAAGTTACAATATTTCTAATTGCGTCCTAAAATGCGTTACTGAAATCAAAGATCTTGAGGTAATCTTTGGCAACAGATTTTCTTTCAGTAGTCACATCAACTATATCACTTCTAAATCATTCTCTGTACTCGGCTTTGTCCGTCGCAATGCTTTAAATTTTTCAGACCCCTACACGWTAAAATTACTGTATACATGCTTTGTTCGGTCCACTTTGGAGTATGCAGTGTTCATCTGGAGACCACATTGCATATCCTCAATTAATAGGATCGAACGTGTCCAAAAGATTTTTCTTAAATTTGCTCTCCACTCCCTTAAGTTTGTTGACCCAATACCATCGTATACATCCCGTTTATTGCTTTTACATCTTAAACTACTGGAAAATCGTCGGTTCGTTCTCTGCTTTTCATTTGTTTTTAATGTTATTAATGGAGGTATTGACTGTCCCTATTTATTAGGGAAAATTAACTTCAATGCTCCCCAACGTTCTCAGATCTATTTCCCCATTTTATTATATAAAGGAAAGTACTAACTTTGCTGAATATGCTCCTCTCAAGCGTGCTATGCGAGAGTTTAACTCGAAAAACTTCTTCTTGATTTTTCTCACTCTAGGGTATCCTTCATTAATACCTTAGATTCTGTTTTTTAGTTAATTACTTATATACTTTTAATTGAATTATTTTAGAATTCTATTTAGCATCCTAATTTTCCATTAGTCTGTAAGAATTGATGTTCATAGACTTAACTAAAAAAATAAATAAAAGAAATATATTGATGCCATGTATTTGTAAAGCTGAAATGCAGCTTTTTATCTCCCGCAGGTTGAATCACTGAAGAATTTGAAGTTGGGCTTTGGTTGAACGCGGTGAGGTTGTGTATGTGTTCGTCCATCAAGGCCGCGCAACACACATAAGCGTGGTAACAGCTTAATTATTTAAGCTTAATGTCGTCAATTGAGCTTGTGTCGGAAGGATCCACCTTTGCAAACACAACTTGTATTCTGACTTTACCTCTACCCACAGAGATTTCAGTTCAGCTTGTTGTACTTCTAGAGAGTAGGCACTTTGGTTGTTTGCTGTTGGAGCAAAAGACTGCTCAAACTGCAGTAGAGCATCTGCAGCTCTGGCAAAGGCTCTGATGGATTCCATTTTTTTGAAAATTTAACAGGAACTACAAAAATGTTGCACTAAATCGGATCTAAAACTTTGAAATTAAAACTTAAAAAAAAACATTTGCAAATATGTGGAAAAAGTTCAAAAGTTACAGAACCAATCACGGACAAACTACAGATTGAGTTGATGATAGATAGTGCGTCGTTTCTTTGTAAAGCGTGAAGTTTCGAAAGAATAAAAAAATTAATAAATTTAATAAAGTATTTTCTTCGTTCAAATTTAATTTGAATGTGCTTGCTGTGTAATCGTCCCAATGCACTTGCACGCCTAGACTATGGACGCAAACAAAAATTGCTTAGTTGCTTACGCTTAGTTGCTTTATTTAAATCCAAATACAAAAAAAATTCACAAGCACTTATTTGATTTATATCACCTATTCACTTTCACTTTAGTTCACGGGACTATTTTCGAATTCACCACTAGTCTCTTCTGTTTGTTGCTGTCCTTCTGGGATTTCTGCCATAGATAACCTGATCAGAATCTCTTTTCTTGCTCTCTCACTTGTCAGCTGGCAGGGCACCCTGATCTGTTTTCTGAGCTGGCAGCACATAAAACACAATCAGCGTGCCTTCAACCAGCAGTTAGTGAAAAAGGCGCGATGCCAGAAGAGCAGCGCTATAATTACTTGACGAAATTAGTGTGAAATGAAATTTCATTGAACTGTGTGAACATATTGTGGCAAAATAAATGTTTATGTAAATTAATTAATGATTTTGGATTTTAGCATTTATATATGTATGCATTTTCAAAGTGTTTGATTTAGTGTTTTCTATAATTTATTAAATACCCAAGCTAATATTTTTCAGCAGTGGCATCTTTGGCAAATGTTATAAAAAATGGTTTTGACAGCTCTATCTCGAACCAAAGAGTCTCGTATCAAGTTATCTATGATGGCTGCTGCGCTGCTTTGCCTTTGTTGCTCTCCCTTTGCTGCCTTGCCTTACGGGGCATCTCAACAGGATAAAATTTATTTCATACTAAGCGTCAAATTATTGCTATTGTCATTGCCAAATCTCTATGTGGGCGTTTGTTATCGTAACATAATCATAGAAATGGCAGACAAGAGTTCGTTTTGGTTTTGTGACTTGCTAACTACCAGGTCTCAAATTTGAGGCAATATTTTGAGACTAAAGCTAGAGACTGTTTAGTGAATAGTAACTAGTCGCAAATTGAGATTTTACCACAAAATGTCTCAAATCGAGACTACAGACTGGTTAGAGAATCCTGCTATAATTAGTATTTCATATACATATTGTAAGAAATAAGCAATATGGAGTATACACAGGCAATTAGGCACGGCAGTACTGTTAGTAAGACATAAATTTTGTCCTGTCGAGATGCCCCGTTTGCTGTTTGCCTTTCTTGCCGTCGCTCACTACACGTGTTATAATTTTTGGCGTCGCTCATTTCACTTGTTTTAATTTTTGTATTTTTTTTATGCACTCGCGTAACTGCAGGAGTGTTATTGCTGCTTGCCTTTATTGCTATTCGAATAATATATCGATAGGCAGATTTGAGCGACTAGACTCAAATCACAATAGTCGACGAGGAATTTCGTACTCGATGTGCGGTCATAAATGAATAGTTTGCGATGTGTTACCGTTGCTGGTAATGCGATGCGTAGGGTATTGAAGCGTAGTGCGGCGGATGGTTGGCAACCTGCGCGGGGGCTGATTGTGGCATTGTGCACTTGGTAGTGTTGCATGTAGCGTGGAAGTGGCGACTGATGCAAAGTGCGTTGAGCCGAATTC